CCTCCAGCAGCTCTATCCTTCGGTTACGGCGTTCGCGCTCCTCACATATACGCGTCGTGTTGGCGGCTACCATCAAATTACCTCCCGCAGTTACCACCATGAGCATAACTAATTCCCTGCTCCTGGGGCTAAGGACTGAAAGATATGACCCGCAGTTAGTGAACGGGATGCTGCAAAACTATAGGGTTTCTAAAACAAACCAAGCGAGCGTAGCATTGGGTGTCCGATGTACGAGGAAGAGAAGATAGGAATGGTTTGTGGAGATTCTTGTAAAATTGTGTGTGGAGTTGTTTGTGGAGTTGTTTGTGGTTCGGGCATTCGGAAGATAACCGGTAACCAAGGCGGGTTTAAGTACTCACTCTCCTCTACTCAGTTACCCGGCCACTAGCTGTCTGCCCAGTACCAGTGGAACTGACATGGGAGCTGCAACGCAACCCAGACCCAGGTGGCACGTCCATGTGTAGATTCCACACTCGCTAAGCCTCGTTCATCCTCCCTCACCGTGCGGAAAATTCCCTCTAACAACATCACCAGCAAATGGGTATCTACAGTTGTTCCAGCCTTTTCTCAGCAGCCAGCCCTAATACTTGCTCTGCCCTCTTCAAAGTTAGTTTGGCCGGCTCGCCAACCCTAACTTTAACCTTATCTTCGGGTCATGAATCCGCACTTCCACCTTCTTGATGTGGCAACTATTGAAAATCACCCGTACTCCACTAGTACTTGATAACATAAACCACAACTATTCATTACGGGTATGCCAGAAGCTTCCGGAGGCAGTCTTGTATTGATTTCGTATTTGTAATGCTTATGAGTGTTCTATTTGTATGAGGGATGCCATTTTCTGGAGGTTCTGTCATGTCCCTGTACCATATAAGAGGTTTAGCCGGAGAGTGGTTATGGAGCACGTGGTTGGAAGGAGGAATGAGATTGGTTGATAAAAGAGGGGTAAAGAGAAGTTAAGAGAAGCTCAGAGAAGGAGCAGCAGGCGGGGTTTTGGAAGACGATCTGTAGTATAACGAGGGGGTAGGATTGCGTCAGGGAAAAAGGAGTGTGGCAGATAGCAGCACCGAAAGCGAAATTCGAGATATTAGTAGCGAGAAGGAACTCAAGCATCTCTCACACCAAAAGGGAACGATTCAATAAAGGTTACAACAGAAACCAGGACTACGACTAGCTTGGGCACGATCTCAATATTCCGTTCAGCCTGCTTCTGCTCCTTTTCTCCTTCTCCTGGATACATCGCTGGCAAAGAGCTCTAATTTCTGGAGTTTAGTGCCCATCGCGGTGATTGCGATGTCACCCGGGGGGTGGTGGGCCAGCTGAAATGAATTCCGACGAGGCAGAGGACTGCAGGTACCTTTTATCGTGAAAGAAGGGCTCCATGTAGGCTTAGCTAAATCTTTCGTGAAATGGAATCATCTGCTTTCTGCCTGTTGAGGAACGGTGGTTTATCTGCCATCTTTCCAGATTATCTCAGCTTCCGCTTATTCTCTACAGGTGAGCGTGGATGTCGTGGTTTGTTGAGTGTTTAGAGGCCCGCATGCCCCCTCTGCACCAGTATAAGAGGTTGCGCCTTGTGATATAAGTGAGATTTGAATGGGCATACCAGTAGCGGCCTACAAACCCAGTTGGGCTGCCAACGGTTAGTGGAATTGTGCTATGATGCGGTTTAAGAACTGCTTCGTTCTTAGCCACTGCGCTGCAGGACATCGGTTCCAGCCCTTCGTGCTTTCCCTGGTATGGTGGGGGTATGGGCTTGGTTGTGGATGGCAGTTAGCGTCCTGGCTGGCCTGGGATCTGCGCGACACAGCATATGGCCAGTCCCGGGAGCAAGCAGCGGATAGAGTGCGATGGATGGTCTATCCGGTCAATGGGGGATTTGTCTCGTGGTCTTTGGCTGAAGGCCAGAGGTGGCAACAGCTTTGTTCTAGCTATCTTTGTACCGATAAAATGATAGCCATGTAGGAAGACAAACAGAGCTGCTCGGCCCACCCTCGCCAGCGGCCCCGGCCCACCACCCTCTTCCCATCACGATAATAGGGCTACCTCTCTCCAAGGTGAATGGCTCACGTGATCGAGCCAGGGAATTGAGTGAGCCACCGAGTTCCAAATTTGTGCGTAAAGGAGTGTCACACTACAAGTATTTCTTCACTCTATGATACCGATAATACTCGTAATGCGATGATACCTGTGAAAATTTCTCCACTTGCATCAGTGTCCATATTCACGGCGCGGGAATTTCTAATCCTGGTTTCACAAGGATCGTTTACCTCGTAATCACGGCAGACGCTATGCCACCGCTTACCCAAGGCAGTTACCAACAGCTACGCTGTAAATTAAGGTGGACTTTCAGCCCTGTCGCGAGTGCTAAGTAACTTACTGGCCTACCGGGGGAATCATGACCAAATGTGCACAGTGGCTGGTATGATACCAACCTGGCAGTGTAATGTGGAATGGTTGCCCTGGAATCCAACGTGAACGTTAGGGGTTTTCATACGAGTAGAGGTTGTGCCAAGACAAAATAATGGAAGAACGGGCTAATAAACTAATCTGGTTTCGTGGTGTAACTTAGTTGGTTCAACAGATGTCTACCACTGAAATAAGTACCCTCTGCTCACTCCAATAAACCCAATTCAGATAACATCAAAAGCGGCGGAGCTCCATAGGAACCCTGCTACAGTGGTTCAAGCGCTTACAATACCTGTACTTGTACCGCACCGGTCGGGCCAATTTGTCTAAGAGCCGGCTTTCTGTACAAGTAATTCGACAGTACTGTGCGCCTCCGGTATTACGTTATCGGTGAGACAATGATGCTCAAACTCTCATCGCGGGTAATAATGCTATCCTGGGCTCCTGCGAAACTTAGACTCCCGCTAATCCCCACCTCATGGGACTGTTAGCACGATGGGGGCTTATTAATGCTGAAAGCGACTCCTACTCAGTTTCGTTATCTTCTAGAACAACGGGGTGTTCCAAGTACTGTACTGGTATCGGGTCAAGAATTTTGTGCGGTTGTTGGGTGGACTCCTCGTCATCTCCCTATTGGTTGTGTTTTCAAGAGCTAGACTATACGAGCCAATGCAAATTATCCCTGCAGAAGGTGCAGTAACAGCAGCAATAGTACTGAATCAAGAAAGGCGAAATGACAAGCGCTCCGGGTTGGCCTAACACCCCTACGGGCACTATCCAGGTTTGGTGGACCAGCTCGGGGTTATCCTTGCAAGAAATTAATGGCAAGAAAATCTGGGTTGGACTTCTCTGTGCATGAATTTACAAGTACCGTATCATATCAATAAATGGTGATGTGACGAACGGGTCCAGATTGATAGTTCCGTGAAGACCGGAATACAAGCATCATACATTATCATACGGTAGGCATGGCAACATCATGATAGTCCTGCTCGGGCCGGGAGCTCGGGTAGGAATAAACGAGATGGCTTTTTGGGTCAGTGCTGTACGCAAGTGGGGGAGGGGTGAAGCGAGTTGACCATGGTACTGGACCGCAGCCTCAGGATCGGGAATCGCTGGCAATTCGAGATGCTCTTGTCAACCTCAACGCATGCATGGGTATGCGCACTACGGTACTTGGGCAAGACTGGTTACCTTGGGCGACCGATGCTAAACCTTCCTCTAACATGCTTTGGATGCTACAGAAAACCTTTTATGTTATTGTTTTTGATGGTAGCAGAAAGACGTATGGGTTCATGAACAGGATCGGAGGTGTGGAGGAGAGGAGATGTTCGGTTGATCTAACAAATAGCTAAGAGATAACCCCCATATATAGACAACGCCTCTGTCTTGGTACCACCCCATGCAACTCCACGGTTGGGACAAAGCCCCATACAGACAACCCACCCGCTAGCCTCCACACAAGCCAAGACACCAATGCTATCACATACAACCGCCTATACATATACATGCTCCCCCACGTCTACCTTTTCCCCACAGCAGGATTATACAGCCGTCATTTTTTTCTTCCTCCCTCCCGTCCTTGGTGCCGCACGCACTCCCCCCACCCTTGCCACCCCTATTCTTCCTTTCAAAGCAACTTCAATAACCTGGACCTCCCACCTTCACGGTGCCCAAAACCAAACACACACTCCTTCACCGAGCTTGCCCTTCTTCCAACTGCTTGCACTCTGCTTTGGGCTCTTCATCCTGAAAAAAAAAAAGTCTAATAACTCTGTGGGTTACACCCTTTCGCATTTGCTATCTAACTATTTCCGACGGTCAACCCTAATTTCGGGTCCCGGACAAAGGAATCTCTCATCATACCATCTCCAAAGGCAGCCCCTTTCCTGCCATCCACTCAGAAACGCCTCTCTGGTGCACCGTCATCAGGCGCAGTAGAGCAATTCCCATTCAGGTTCTCTGCTGATTTCACCATTCGTCGGACTCTAGTGCCTGCGTGGCCTTTTAACTCACAAACCACCAAGTTTGCGGGATCCATTTCTCCAAAGTTCTTCGCTCTCCCCCTCCTCAGCCCACTATCCTGGGTCCTTGGAACCTCCAAGAACCCTGCATAACAGGCCCTCTGGTCGGCGAATCGGAAGAAGCACCGCTGCTTTATATCATAGCTCCTGCCCATGACACCGCCGAACATTCCTTGGTCTTACAGCTAGGGAAACCTTTCAGCTCCATCTCTAACCCGAGCCCTCTCCCCCACCCTGCCCCGCTCTTGTCTCAGGCGATTCCAAACTCTCGAGACTGTCAAATTAATTGCAACTAGTGTGGTGAGCGTACCTCGCGGCTCGCCCTTGCTGCTGGAATTCCCGATTTCTGGAAATTTGTTGTGAGCAGACATTGGCGACTCGTGGAAAGGTATCAAAGATGACTGATGCATTTTTTGCGGTAGATTTATCATCACGACCATCATAGCGGCTATCCCTTTATCTCGCTGCCATAACTCGTTTCACGACTACGTTGTTTTTTTTACTCCATCGCTTGTGCCGAACTTCCACCGTCTCTATTGAACCGGCCCCCGGGAGAAGGCAGCAGCAATGGACACCCCACGTTCCGAGTTGCCACACTTTACCAATGCCGCCGCGGCGGACCTGGATGATAGGTTCGAGGCGGATTCATTTCCTTGCTCTGGCATTACATCGTCAAGAGCTCGTGTCCGTCTGGACCTATCCCTCGCTCATCACCTCGGATACCCATAGCCTTATTCACAGAGACTACAAGCAGGCTGTGCTGGATGAAGACACACGCGACGATAGGTCTGCCCTTTGTCCTGATGACTGTGGTGACCGTCGGTACTGAGTACCATTTCCATCCCGCTCTTCTTCTTCGGTCGCTTCCACGAGATCACCACCGGCCCAAAGCTCTGTTGGGGCATTCGCGAATTCGGAGGAGAGACGCCGTGAGGATCGTTCCGCCGCCATCAGCACTCCAGTTCTCGCGGATCTTGCCTTAGGCCTCCGCAGGACTAGGTCATGCCGTCCAGAATTTACTGAGGATCAAACTGCTGCAAATGGCTCCCGAGGTGAGGCTCTGACAGCTGCGGAGGAGGGCGTTTGCTTCTTGCCTCCTGAGGAGAGCCAAATCTGGGGTGGGATTGATTTTGAGGAGATGTATGAATTTGTAGGGGATCAATCACGCGCGAAGCCCGGTGAGAGGAGAGGGAAAATTAGCACATGTGGGGATCTCATTGGGGTCCCTACGCTTTGACAAAATCAAGGCCAAAGAGGATTTGCCCGCTGCTCCTAGCAGTGTTGGGAAAGAGGCTCCCATTTCCTCCACTTCACCCACCAATAATGAGAAAGCTGAGTTTTGGAACACGCCGACCACTCCCCGTCATGGACGTGTGAGAAATCCTGACCAATTCGGTTTTTTCTCATCCGAGGGTGATGCCATGATCCAAGCTCCCGAGATTGGTGACCTCCCACGCGATGGTGAGACGCTCCACGAGCTCTTCCGTGGCAAGGGGTCTGGTGGTTGGACTGCTGCGATCCTACTACAGAAGAGGTGGCTATGCTCATGAAGGCTTTTGCAATCGATCCCATGACATCTGAGCATATTTGGGTTCCAGAGACTCGCGAGAAAGTTGGGCTTTGCAGGTCCTACTACTTTGTATGCTTCCGCTCTTTTGTGTAAAGTAAGAACTCATCGTACTTTGTGCATCCTGTAAACGTCTACACCATTGTTTTCACCAGGGGGTGTTGAGTTTCCATTTTGCACCTTCCCCGCACTGCCCCAACCGTAGGAAACTGATTAGTCAACTCCGTAATTACGTTGCTCTCTCACCAGATTGGATTTGCTACGCATTGATGTAAGTTTTATAGTGCTTGCAGTGGTGTTGAGAGATTAGTCCTGACATGGGGAATAAATAGTGATGATATCGCTGATTCCTTTGGTGCCGTAATTCACGACATCGAGACGGAGTGTGACGCCATTGAAGATGCTGTTTCTGCCCTGTGCATGGACGATAGTTTGTGGGAACGCGCTTCTAGGATCGCGGTTTGGCTGTGGGCGAGGTTCAGCAGGAATTTTCCGGGGTCCCGCCGCAGTGCATCCGATCGAAGGAAAGCTGTGCGCGGTGGTGGAAATCCGCTGGATGGAAAACTGTGCGCCGAATGGACCGAAAGCGAAAAGGCAAGAGGAACAGAGTGGAGGGCCGGCGGGGGGGGAGGCAAATCAACGAAGTTTGTCTTCCCTTTGTCTTCCCTTTGTTAGTTTGTGTTTGCGCGTCAATGGGGAACATACCAGTGGGAGATGGCAGGTCATTTTCGTTGGTGATATGTACTTCACATTTTTACTGTTAGTTACTTGAGAGATAGCGAAGGAGAGCTGAGTTTTTTGCACGCAGTATAAGATAACGACAACCACCGAGCCTTAGCGCCGAGGCTGTGGTTGGTAGTTCTCTAATTCCAACTGACGGAATGAGGTTTTGCCAATAGAAGAAAACTGGGGATAAAAAATAGATATCATAGCTGCTTGGCGAGCCGCAGCGTGTCATGAGATAACTCTTTGTTAGGTACTACAATTACTTGAGAGGTGCTGCGATATACGTAGTAGTTGCTAGTGTTATTTTTATTTTAGACCCACTGTTGTTTGGGATAAGTTAACTTGGGTACCAATCCCGGATAACAGAAGTTTTGTTATCAATACATCAATATGTGGCGGGTTGTCACAGCAACAACGGAAAATGGGGCTCTTGGTATCATACTCGAATTCTCTTAGCAAAATCTCCCTAATAGGTACTTTAAGGGGGTGTTGGGCTGAGAATGCACAAACCGAGTAACACTCAGCGTGGTCATGATCGGAGCATCATCCTCTGTGCACATTTAATCACAATTGCGCTAGTAGGCTAGTACTTAGTAGTCAGGACAAGGGCTGAAGGTCTGCCTAGTGTACCGCTACTGTTGGTAACCACATCCGGTAAGCGGTAGAATAGCGCCTGCCATGATTACGAGGTAAGGGATCGGTTCCTCTGGTACTGGTCAGACACCTAATGCCCGGGTAACTGAGGAGAGGAGAGTGAGTACTTAAACCCCCTTGGTTACCGGTGTGGGGGCTTCTCGTAAGCCTCCCTTATTTGGATGGTGTGTCCGACCGAGTAGAGCTCCCTGTATTTCCCGGTGAATGAACCCTTGGATAAATTGAGGCTTAACGAATTGCAGAAGTGCTCCAATGATCGGTGGTATATTTTCAAAGCTAGAAAGAAACAAAAATATAAGACAAACGGTAATTTTCTATAGGGGGTGGGGTGGTTGTTTTTCTCTCGTCCTCCTCCGAGGTTGCCATCTATCCTAAGAACAAAAAGAAAGTCACACCTCCACTGTGCAGAACTGTGAGCTAAGCTATCCTCCTAACCGCCTAGTCTGGTGCACACAAATACCAGAAGAAACACCGTCTCCAGACCCTAAAACCTATCCCCCTTCACAAGAGTCCCTCCTTCCTCTTGCCTTCGCCCCCGAAGGCTATCACAGAAAAATCAACTAGTGGTACAACATATCAATCTCCAGCCATTGCTTGCCCATTCTTCTCCGAATCTCTTCCCATAAGTGGTCAAGTGACTAGACATGATGTCTCTCTCCACTCTCAATCCTGTATTCTCTCCTGATCCATTCCAAGCTCTTTCCCTGTACTCCTTTAGCCCAATTCGCCCCTTGCTCCTCCACTGGTTGTATCGTGCTTGTGCTTCTCTCATACTCCAAGATATCTACCATCTCGACTCGCGGCTGATCCTCTGTTCTCCGTGGAAGATAAACTTTCAGATCGTTGAGGTGGACACGGTCTTTGAGAGCCCCCTTTTTGACGCGTACGATTTGTCTTGTGTTGATATCGAGGAGTCGCCCACTTTTTCCATGCCAGGAAAGGTCTGATAAAATGTACGGTCCTTCCCACCGAGCTTCGAGCTTGCTCCCTCGTCGCTGATCCAAGAGAAAGCTTCTTAACAGGACCAGATCGCCGGGTATCGGGGGTCTGTATCGCATTCGTAGTTGACTGCTTTCTCGCTTCTCGGCTTGCTCCACAATCTTTACTGCAGCCTTTTCCCGGAGGTCATCTAGGCTGGCAAGTCGTTCTAGCTGCCGTTCTGCGAGATCCGCTTCTGTGTCCCATAGGTTATCTCCTTTTTCGAGGACAGTTGAAAGCACAGTAACAGCTTTTGCGGTCTCGGATGTAATATCCCAGCCTGCCTTGCTTGGATTATATCCTAGGAGTAATTCTGCTGGACTGTATCCATGAACACTTAGAACTCGAGTATTCACTGCATGGATAACTGATGTGACAAAGAGGTCCCAATTAGTCTGCGGTGCTTGGTGGGCCATAATTGTAACTTTGAGGCCATCAAATAAAAGCTTGACGTATCGCTCAGCTAAGCCGACTGATTGCGGGTGAGACTTAGGCGCGGGGAGGTGTACGACTGAGGAGTCTTTCAACATCTTCGCAAATGCTCCAGAGACAAAGTGTGCCCCATTGTCCGTATATACCGCTCGTGGCCATCCAACCTGTCGGATCACTTCTTCTAAGAGTGCCACTGCTGACTTCCCTTGACTATCGGGGACAGCCTTTCCAAACAAGAAGCGGGTGAAGTAATCAACCCCAATGACTATGTATTTGTTCCCCCGCGGGGTATCTGGAAAATTTCCCACGAAGTCAAATCCCATCATGTCTAACGGTTGAAGATGCACAATTGTTAATTGGGTAACTGAGGGTTTCAAAGGTCCGATCAGCTGACAGCTCGAACAGGTATTGCAGTAACAAGTTATATCCGTCGTCCTTGTAGGCCAATAGTACCTTCCTATCAAGGTACGCAGTAGTATTCCCGAGGCGAAGTGCCCATGGCAATCATGAAACTGATAAAGGATTGGTATGACTTGACCCGCGCGAAGACAGATTGCCTCCTTCCCGTTCCTCTCAACATAGGTCAACTGACACTGCAACTTGGTAGTGATGTGACTATCACCCGGAATTCTGATTCCCGTAATTGCCGCTTGATGATCTCTCGGTACACCATAGTCATTCACAGAGGCGGGGCGTATAAGTCGATATGGTCGTGACTTTTGCCGTATTAGGCGCTTCCGATGTCCAGTTAAGGACTCTCCATCTTGTCCCCGAAATGCTTCTAAATCTCCAAACAGCCTTAGGTGAACCACTGCACCATACCACTCATCCTCCAACCATTCTTTCCACTCCACCTCTAACTGCTCCTTCTCAATACTAAATACTTGCTGCTTCTCTGCAGCTTCCTTTCCTGCATCACTATCACGCACCCATCTCAGTCTGCTCAAGCCATCTGCCAAAACATTCTCTCTGCCAGGAATGTGAATATATTCAACATCGTATTCCGATAGGCGTATTTGTCATCGCACGATTCGGCCACGAGCGTTATCCTTTCGCAGTAGTCCCAATAACGCTTGATGGTCCGTTTAGACTTTTGTGGAAAAGGGGGAGCCTAATACTAGCCACCGGACTTCCTCTAAGGACCGCAGAATTGCTAACGCCTCTCGCTCGGTTGTGGAATAACGTGTTTCAGCCGGTAGGAATCGCTTGGAGATAAACATGATAATCTTCATTTCAACTCTCGTAGAAATGGTGAGGGTTGTACCTTCGGGAAGATTTGGTAGTTGAAAGAGCACACCTCCTAATGCGTGAAGTGAGGCATCAGTCATTAGGTGGTACTGCTTGCGATCGTCTCCTCCGTAAACAACGTTCTCAATAATAGCGTGCTTGAGTGCCCGCAAAGACTCCTCTTGCTTTTTCCCCCATTCAAATCCGCAAACAACCTTTACCGGTTTTCCCCTCTTGCTAGTCTGCCTCGACCTTTGGCTCTCTCTTCCTTCGGATGTCTGGTAGATCATTGCTTCCTTGAGAACTCGGGCATGCTCTACACGTCCTGGAATAAACTGCCGTAGGTAGATCGTTATGTAGATAAATGCTTCAACTTCAGCAGCGCATGTAGGTCGAGGATATTCTCGTATCGCGAATGCTTTATCTAAAGAAGGCCGTAGCCCACTTCCATCACTTGAGAACCCCAGAGGACTTATCCGACCGAGAAAGAAGCCACATTTACTTCCCTTTAGTGTGATTTTAGCCCATGCCAATCGTGGAAAGTAATGATCGTGCAGAAAGTCAAACTGGGATGAAAAACTTGGAAAGCCCCGAAGTCATCATCCACGAAATACTCGAATGCGCTGGTGGTGCACTGATTGAGGCATTTTTCTGAATTGGGCTCTGGAATGTGACCGCAGACAATATTCTTCAGCCTGGCATATGTCTGAGGTGCTCCAGCTAAGCCTTGCCCCATCCGAAGGTATTGCCATTGTCCATTATGCGCCGCAAATGCTGTTCTGTAGGCATGTGGTGCGTACATCGCAACTGCCCAATATCCATTCGCTGCATCCGCTTGAAAATAGGTCTTGAAGGTTGCTTTCATCAAGTTGTTTACCACAGGTTCGATGCGTTTCATTGGGTAACTGGATAGGATCGTCGCTTGATTGATCGGGCAAAATACATGAACCATGCGTAATCCACCAT